ACGTGCATCCGTATCTACTGCAGCTAGCTTTCTTGGCCTCGGCACTACGGACATTTGGGGCCGGGAGATTCACTGCGGAGGGGAACCGTCCTGCATATTATAGGGTGGTTAGCAACATCGCCGGCTTCTACCCACAAAGTACCAGTAACACCCCATTCCCAGCTCTGAAAACCGGAAATACCCCCCACGTTGCTGCGTGTCCCGTACAGAGGGGGTGCAAACTCGCCCTGGTTGACAAACATCGGTCTATGCCGACAGGGAGTGGGGATGAGAGAAGGAGCGTGTGTGCGTGTGTGCTCAGTAGTGTCTGACTCTCTGCGACCCCATGGACTGCAGCCCACCGGCCCCTCTGTCCATGGGATTTCCCAGGCAAGAAGACTGGAGCGGGTTGCCATTTCCTTCTCCAGGGGGTCTTCCCGACCCAGGGATCAGACTCATGCCTCCTGCATTGGCAGGCGGATTCTTTACCTCTGGGCCACCTGGGAAGCCACGAGCAGAGAGGAGAGATGTGGCCGCAAAGCAGCAGATAGCTTGACCTTTCAGCATACTTAGGTACATGCTCATTAGCACCAAGCCACAAAATGACTAAGCTAGCTTTTCCATTTCAGGAGTTGCAAACTGGATCCTCTTCACACAGATTCTGCCCACAGAGGAGTTTAATTTGGCTAAAAACGTTTGTAAATGAATTTGAACCATTTAGTTGGGACCTAAATTCTGCAGCTCTAGGCATCCCTCCTAGGAACCCCCCCAACCCTGCCACCATGACCTTAAGCCTGACTCTCACTGGGAGCCAGGCCTGGTCCTGAGGCATCTGAGACCTAATGCATCTTCATGGTGAAGTTTCTAGTACAGTGATTCTCAACTGGCGGTGAGTCTGCATCTCAGGATGCACCTAGCAATGAGTGGACAAGCTTCTGGATGTCACAGCTGGGGTGGCAGGACACCCTACTGGCATCCAGTAGATGGAGGTCAGGGATGCTGCTCAACATCCTACAGTGGACAAGACAGACTCGTTCTACAAAGACGTACCTGACCCCGCGTGCCGAGGTTGAGAATCCCTGTTCTAGCTAATCTCTCATCCTCTCTTATGAAGCCTCACGTGTTTCCAGTGAAGGAAGCCAGAGGAGGATCTTCAAAGTGCACACGCAATCCTGTGAGATGTGTCGCCACTGCCTTCCATCAGGCAGAAAGGCTTAAGCAGCTCTCTCTTGGAAAGCACCTGCCCTCCTGGCCAGGTCTCTCAACCTGATGTAAAGCAAACACCCCCATCCTTCGTGTCCTGGCCCTAAAAAACGGCTGCTGTTTCCTTGGGGATGTTATCAGGCCTGATTATCTGAAAGCACTCCAATGGCAGCAAGACAAAGCAACACGCTCCCAGGGGCTCTGGGTTCATCTGACTTCCCTCATGCGCAGAAACACTTGGTCAGAGAACTCACTATACGGGGCTGAGACAGCGTTACCTGACTTTATTCCTTGTCCTGACTGTACACAGGTAGGCACATGAAAGAAGTTCATTAAACATGAACTTTCACAGGAAGTGAAAACCACTTCAGTGACTACACTCAAGCACTGCTTGGCATTTTATCTCAGATCCTGGGGCCATCTACGCTGATACCCCAAGAAGTCGAGGAGAGATCATAGGCAAGGGAGCTGACAGGTGCAGGGGACGGGGAGGAGTGGAGGATGGCTGCCAGATAAAATACAGGCTCCCCAGTAAAATCTGAATCTCTTGCAAGCAACAAATCATTTTTAGTATAAACATGTCCCATAATTTAAAAAAATAAATAAAAATATTTTTAGGATAAGTATGTCCAAAACATTTCATAGGACATACTTATACTTTTTTTTAAAAAAAGTATTCTGCTAGATCTTCTCATTTTCATAGGAAATTTTCAAAATACAAAATTAAGTGAGTTTACAATTCTGACAACTAATTAAAAAAAAAAAATCTAACAATGTCCCATGAAAGGAAGCAAGAAGCCTGCAGGCTGCCCTCAGCTTGGGGACACAGGCTCACAACTTGGCTGTAGAAGAATGTGCTTCTGAGTTTTTATTTTAAGCCAAGCACTCACTGTGAGAAGGGGCCCATGGCTAGCTTGCTTAGTTCTCCCATCAGCAGGGAGGTATGAACAACTACCTGGTTCGCTGCCTGCTTTTATAAATAAAGTTTTATTTGAACATAGCCATGAACATTCACTTACTGCCCACAGGTAATTTCACTCTATTCCAACAGAGATTACTGGGCCCTCAAAAGCCAAAACTATTTACTATCTGGCATTTTACAGGAAATGTGTGCTGACCCCTACACTAAACCAATGAAATAATGAACAGACTATAGTTTAAATGCTTTTATTATTCAGTGGAAAGCAATAAACTTAACAAAAAAATTCATTTCTCATTTCTTCTAAGATTGATCATCTAAGAAAGACCACAGAGCAGGTGGGATTTTGTTTATAAAACACAAAGCCAAAAAAAAAAAAAAAATCCACACAAAGCCTTATGTTAGGCCAATCATGATGGATGTATTAATAAATGTGTCACTCACCTAACAGAAAAGAATAGTCAGTGCAAACTTTAGCCTGTGTCACTAATTCTATTCAGAAAACTTACTCATGTTTCAGTTGAGGATCCTGACTTCAACTGCATTATTACAATGGTCAATATATGAAAATATTGACAAAACTTCAGTCTCTAATTGAAATTTACCTTAGTTTATGTAATTAAGCACATTGTCATTTCCTGTTTGGACTAATTACACGGACAGGAAGCCTGAGTTCAAAGATTAGCACTAACAATAAATAAACAGACTAGGTCAAAGGTTAGCAGATTTCTGTCAAGGGCCAGAATATAGATATTTTCCACTCTGCAGGCCATGTGGTCTCTGCCACAACTACCTAAAGAAGCATAAAAGCAGCCATAGAAAAAATGTGCATGAATGGATATGCCTGTGTTCCAATAAAACTTTATTTATAAAAACAGGTGTTGGGCCACATTTGGCCTACAGGCCATAGTTTTCCCACCATAGGACTAAAGTTGCAAAATCAATTTTCCAGAAGGTCCAGGAAAGCAATAAATAAATGAAGTGCACTTGTGTTATACAGTGGAAATGGGGAGACTGTGGTCCCCCGGGGGCACGTGCCCTCTCTAAGAAGGCAGCTTCTACTCCACCATGGGGGAGGCAGACTCAGCGCTGCCAGATTCTTCTGATTTTCTTTACTCTTTGTTTCCTGCTTTGTATGTGAAGCGCTAGTAGCCCATTCAAATTAAAAGGAAAAAATAAACCTTGAGAGGATCAGAACAAACACGCTTAGGGCTCAGGGTTTCTCAGTCTTGGGAATATCGACAGTTTGCTCTGGATAATTCTGTACTGTGGTGGAGGTAGGGGGGTGAGCTGACCCTCCCACAAAATTATGATGACCAAAATGTCTTCAGACATTTCCGAGTGTCCCCTAAGACAGCGGTCCCAAACTTTGCATCAGGGACAAATTTTGTGGAAGACAATTTTTCCACAGACCAGGCTGGAGGCGGGGATGGTCCTGGGATGATTCAAACACCTTACATTTACTGTGCGTTTTATGTCTGTTATTATTACATATGTTACAGGTCAGATCATCAGGCATTAGACCCCAGAGTTTGGGGACCCCTGCGCTAAGAGGAAGACGTGTCCCTAATTGAGCACCACTGTGACAGCTGATCCTGGCCATGCGTCATCTGTTGCCAATTTGGATAATTATTAGTCTCTGCATGATCTTCATCTCTAGTATTGGGCTCTGCACCATCCTTTATGTTTAAAATATATTTTGCTTTGCTTTGTTTTCAGTTTCTTTATGAAGAGGAGGAAAATGAGAACAGGATAGAAGGAACAATGACAACCACAACAACAAAAACAGAAGAAAAAAAAATGTGAGAGATGAAAACAAGGACTAACTCTTGTTAGTCCTTGGACTAAGGGAAGGACTAGAGGGAAGAAGTAAAAGACAGTGGAAAGTGGAGATTCATGAGGGAAAACGAGAAACTGGATGTGAACCGTCCCAATCTCAACATACTAGACCCAAATGATCGTAAGAGAAAAGCCTTCCAAGAGGATTCACCTTTTTTTAATTTAAGATAACTCCTAGGCCCTCATGTTTAACTTGGACACACATTCTTCACATAGTGATTCACAACTAGTGAAATTGGGGAAAACCAGTATTTGGATGCACCTTTATGAGGTTTCAGACAAATGCTATAGATCATTCTCTATTCATCCTACTTTATATCAATCACAAATTCATTTCTGCTCTCAAAATGTTCTTGCTCTGCTTGGGAGTACTTATGATATTTCAGTAATATCACTGTTGCTTTTATATGGAAATACTCCATTTTCTGCACTGTATTTCTTAACACTGCATCTAGATGAACTATTTTAATTTTCTCAATGGTCAGCTAAAATCAAACAGCCTTCCCCCTCTTTCTAAACCTTGTACTTGCCTTATAAACCAATGCTCTTGAGTTTTCACCGTGAGAGTTGAATTCTTTCAAGGTGAAATTCACAATCGTACCCTGTTGGTGTTAGAAGAAAAGATCCCATCAGGCAAACTTCTAATGCCAGGGTAAGCATTCTGATGTTACTGTTGGCGTTGGTTGCTTCAGCCGTGTCCACCTCTTTGTGACCCCTTGGACTGTGGCTCACCAGGCGCCTCTGTCCATGCAATATCCAACTTGTCCATGTCCAGGCATGAATACCGGAATGGGTTGCCATTCTCTTCTGCAGGGGATCTTCCTGACCCAGGGACTGAACCCAGGTCTTCTGCACTGTAGGCAGATTCTTTACTATCTGAGTCACCAGCGAGGCCTCATTTTGATATGAGGTGCATTTAATTCCTAGCAGTTTATCCCTAACTCATGGCTCTTCTGCATTCAAAGTAGAGCTTGACACACCTTGCTCCCAACTAGGTTGATCATAGAGGATCTGAAAGACAAAGTGTCAGGCCATTCTCTACACGGCCAGGAATGATGCCATGAGGCTGGCAGAGCAGCAGGACCGGCCGTGTGAGCCGGGACAACCAGAATGCGGGGACAGGGTGTATGAATCAGACAATGAGGTGCCAAGAGCCAGATCGCTCATTCACCGACACCATGAGCGGACGATGGGGAGACCATTCAACCTGTTGTCTCCACCCCAACCACCCACTGACTCTGGAGCCCTCTCTAAGTCCCTTTAGAAAGTACATGCATCTCTAGGGTGCTATAGGATGAATTGTGTCCACTCCAAATTCATATGCTGAGGTCCTAGCTCCTCAGAATGAAACAATATTTGGTTTTCTTATTAATTTTTATTGGATATAGTTGCTTTACAATGCTTTACAACGTTGTAAATGTTGCTATACAGTTTCTGCTGTACAGTAAAGTAAATCAGCTGTATGCTTACATACATCCCCTCCTTTTTGGATTTCCTTCCCACTTAGGCCACCGCAGAGCATGGAGCAGGGTCCCCCGCACTACACGGCAGGCTCTCGTTAGTCACACTGATACACTCTACACGCAGCGTCAGTAGTGTGTATGCGTCAACCCCAGTCTCCCAATCCATCCCACCCCCTCCCGCCTTGGGTACACGTTTGCTCTCCATTATAGCATTTTCTAGATTCCACATACATGCATTAATATACCATACTGTTTTTCTGACTTGCTTCACTCTGTATGACACTCTCTAGGTCCGTCCACGTCTCTGTAAACGGCACGATATCACCCCTTTTTATGGCCGAGTGATCTTCCACTGTGTATATGTACCACGTTGTCTTTGTCCAGAATGTGACTATATTTGGAGATGGGGTCTTTAAAGGAATGACTTCAAAAATGAGGCTGCCGGGGTGGCCTCTGATCTGCTCTGACTGGTGTCTTTATAAAGCGAGCTTCTGGATACATGTACACTTCACACACACACACACACACACACACACACACACACACACAGAGGAAAGGCCATGTGGAGACACAGCGAGAAGGCAGTCACCTGCAAGTCAAGGAGGGAAGCCTCGGAAGAAACCAAACCTGGCAGCATTTCCATCTTGGACTTCTAGCCTCCAGAACCGTGAGAAAATGAATCACTGCTGAAGCCACCCAGTCAGTGGCACTTTGTTATGGCGGCCTGAGCAAACCTAATACGTTGGGAGAAAGAGCCTGAAGCAGGGAAGATCCTAAGAAAGTTCCGTGACAAAGAAACTTTGGCGTATCAGTCGGGATAAACTAGGCTATGCTCGGATTAGCAAACCTTACCGGCTAGACAAGAAGGTCAACGTCTTGTTCGTGGAAAGCCAGCCTCAGGTCCAGCCAACTCTCTGGGGCAGCTGACCTCTTCATGGTACAGAGCATTCATAGACACTTTGATTTTGCATTGTCTATGCATTAACATATCCGGTCACAGTTGAAGGGAGGAAGTCCATGATAATTCCATGAGCATGCTTGCTAAGTTGCTTCAGTTGTGTCTGACTCCTTGCAACCCCATGGACTACAGCCGGCCAGGCTCCTCTGTCCAGGGGTTCTCCAGGCGTGAGTACTAGAGCAGGATGCTATACCCTCCGCCAGGAGAACTTCCTGACCCAGGGATCGAACCCACATCCGTTATGCCTCCTGCACTGGCAGGCAGGTTCTTTACCACCAGCACCAACTGGGAAGATGATAATTGTATATCAACTCCTGAATGCTTCCACTCAAAAAATGTGACCCATTTCTACTCACATTTTATTGGCCAAAGACTGTTCTATGGTCATAGGTAACTCCAAGGAAGCGGGGCAGTACCATCCCCGCTGTGCAACCAGAAGGAGAGAAAGACTGCAAATAGAGGTAAACAGACATAACATCCGGCCTTCCCAGGTGGCGCTACTCATAAAGAACCTGCCTGCCAATGCAGGAGACCTGGGCTCAATCCCTGGATCAGGAAGATCCCCTGGAGAAGGGAATGGCTACCCGCTCCAGTATTCTTGCCTGGAGAATCCCATGGACAGAGGAACCTGACAGGCTATAGGCCGTCACAAAGAGTTGGTCAGTTCACACGACTGACGTGACTTAGCACACACACACACAGACATAACATCTATCATAGACATATGGACCCAGATCACCTGGAATTACCCCGGAACTAAATAACTAATTTCCTACCTCACAACGGGCATGGGGTCTCAGAAGGGGAAACAAATTTAGTCCAGGAAAATTATTTTCACACCTGAATTGGCCATCTGTGATTTGCGGGTTGCTGACATAAAATTTAAGAACAGTTAGAATTGTAGATGTTATAGAATCTCCATCTTACATCACTGTTTCCATGAAAACCCTGTATAACAAAAAAGCCACAAGCCCAGGGGCTTAAAGCCATGCCCACTGGTGGTAGCTCACAGCTCTGGGGTCTGGCTGAGTGCGCCTTCTGAGCTTGCTGACGCCTCTCGGTCAGCCAGCAGGGGGCTGGGGGCAGGGATGGCCACTACACTAACGACTCAGCTCCCGGCAGTGTGCGCGTCCACCCCAGGCTCGTCTCAGGGTTGTGGCAGGGACGTTAGGAACTGACAGGGGAGACAGAAAAGCAGACGGAAAGAGAGAGGTGTAGAGAGACAGAAGTGGAGGAGAGCTGAGTAGCTTGGCAATAGCACCCACCGTTCCAGCCGCTTTCTATTGGCCAAAGCAAGGTGCAACCAGAGCAAATATTCAAGTGCTGAAGACATAAACTACCTCCAAGAAGGAGGAACTTGCAAAAGGTGTGGCTGCAACAGGGACGGGAAACTGGTCAGTGTTCTGCCACTGTCACACTTGGGAGGAGAGCTGGTCCAAGCTCCAGGTGTTCTCAAAATCTGGAATACTCACAATCACCTGGAGTCCTTGCTAAAAAAAACAGACTGCTGGGGACCTCCCCCCACCCCCAGGTTTCTGCGTCAATAGGTCTGAGTGAGGCCTAAGAACCAGCATTTCCAATTAGTTCCCTGTAAAGTTAATGCTGATGCTGCTGGTTAGGAGATGGCACTTTGAGAATCAGTACAATAGCTTCCAGGAAGCCCGGAGGTTCAATGGTAAAGAAGCCGCCTGCCAATGCAGGAGACACGGGTTCCATCCCTCGGTCAGGAAGATCCCCTGCAGAAGGAAGAGATAAGCCATTCTAGTATTCATGCCTGGAGAAATCCCATGGACACCGGAGCCTGGTGGGCTACAGTCTATGAGGTCACAAAAGAGTCAGACACAACTCAGCGACTAAACAACAACAATGACAATAGCCTCGCTCACAAATCAGGAAAACCTGAAAACACAAAGAAGAACTGCCTGGGTTACACATCAGGCCCACACCTCCAGCCTGGGCTTTCTTTTCCTGACACCCCGCTCAACTTGGCGACTCATTGCCTTGCCTTTGTGTACCTCTGCCCTGAATACCATCATTATTTTTATTGTCATCATTAGTAATGATTAAGAAGATTGAGGTGTGACAAGGTGTTTAATATTCTGTCCAAGGCATGTTAAAAGCTCTGGGCCCTGTCAGAGAAGCACAGCCTCAATCCCAGCCAGACATGTAACACTCTGGCTACGAACCTCCATAGCACGACTCTGAAATGAAGCAGTCCCTGTCAACCAAGTCATTCATCTACATAAGAGGTCAAATGTGTCCTTATGAATCACAAGAGAGCTCAGGGTTCCTGGCTGAGAGTTCGGCCAGTTCATCCACACACTCCCCAATCTAGACAGACAGATTTCACGGTGCGTGTCAGCCAATGCATGGGACAACCTCTATAAAAGTGACATGGCATTCAGTTCTCTCTGGATCCATGCTACAAAGCAATTCCTAATTATTTCCTCTACCTACATGCCTTGTTCTTGCACCTCAATAACTCTGCAGAAAGCGCTCAGGGAATTGGTTTAATGCAATCAATGCTCTTGGCTTTTCTTGACTGATGCTACAAGGTATCAGTTCAGTCATTCAGTCGCTCTGTCATGTCCAACTCTACAACCCCATGGACTGCAGCACACCAGGCCTTCCTGTCCATCACCAACTCCTGGAGCTGGCTCACACTCATGTGCATAGAGTCAGTGATACCATCCAACCATCTCATCCTCTGTCATCCCCTTCTCCTCCTGCCTTCAATCTTTCCCAGATCAGGGTCTTTTTCAATCAGTCAATTCTTCGCACCAGGTGGCCAAAGTATTGGAGCTTCAGCTCCAGTATCAGTCCTTCTAAAGAATATTCCGGGTTGATTTCCTTTAGGATTGACTGGTTTGATCTCCTTGCTGTCCAAGGGACTCTCAAGAGTCTTCTCCAGCACCACAGTTCAAAAGCACCAATTCTTTGGTGCTCAGCCTTCTTTATAAAGAAACTCTCTTTCTCTCACAGAAACTCCAACTCTCACATCCATACACGACTACTGGAAAAACCATAGCTTTGACTAGATGGACCTTTGTCAGCAAAATAATGTCTCTGCTTTTTAATGTGCTGTCTAGGTTTGTCATAGCTTTTCTTCCAAGGAGCAAGCATCTTTTAATTTCATGGCTACAGTCACCATCTACAGTGATTTTGGAGCCCAAGAAAAGAAAGTCTGTCACTATTTCCATTGTTTCCCCATTTATTTGCCCTGAAGTGATGGGACCAGATGCCATGATCTTAGTTTTCTGAATGTTGAGTTTTAAGCCAGCTTTTTCACTCTCCTCTTTTACTTTCATCAAGAGGTTCTTTATTGATTACATACTACCCACTGAACTTAAATCGTAAGTTAAATTTCTTGGTATGTAGGGGGAAGTAAGAGATACCTCTGTGGGGGTTTTGAGGGAGAGGTGGAACAGGGCTAAAAACATACTTTTATTTCATAGGACTCAGAAAATTTAGAAAGGCAAGAAGTAGGAATTGGAAGTAAGTCTCTGTGACTTTCAAGCCTCTTTCAGCACCACAGCATGACCGAGAACTCCCTGGAGATGCTCCAAAAATCCCACAACGTATCCTGCAGGCTCCACCCCAGCCAGGTCTCAGAGGCTCTCTTCCTTCCACAGAACTGCCCCTTCCCAAGATTCAGTAGTGCCAGATCACTCAAAACACAGAATGTTCTGGTTTAAAAGCTCTGTACAGTGTTATATTACCCAGATGCAAGATTTATGAAGTGCTTATGAGGTTAATCGGGAACAGACCCAGAGGAAAGAGGAAAGAAATTAAAAAAAACAAACACCTTTATTTTTACTCTAATGAAATCCAGAGAAAATCAGGTTTTTTGGTCAAAGTAGTACTTTAGATCATCTTGCATGAAAAAAGTGAATATTTTAAGCCCCGGATACTTTTCTGATGGTTTCCTTTTAGATGAGAACAGTGACCACATGTCCAGAAGGTCAAATAGCCCATGATTTTAGATTATAGAAAAGTATTTATGTGCTTCTTGGACCACTTAGGATGCAAGCCTTTCAGACATATTTCTCTCTAAACCTCACTCTGCCATTTCCCCGAAGAAGGACAGATGCTGACAGCCATGGAGTGATGTAAGCAGCGTGGAGCATCTTGGGGCGATGGAAAAAAATGCAAATATGCAAGCTGTGGGCTGGGAGAAGCCATCATTTCTGCGGGAAGACAGGTACAAACATGCCCGGGGGTGGTCACAGAAAGTCCTTCCTCGTCAGTGTTACAGTCCCTCTGGCTCACCTCAGCTTGGGGGACGCGGAGTCACATAGCAAGTTGTGATCGGCTTCCCCCTTCTGATTTAAAAGTCATTTCTGAAGCATTTCATTAAGAAAGGGAAGAGAAAAACTTCCCTCTCATTAAACATGATAGGAAGAGTTAAAGCATTCTTCTTCTCGCCTTCCCATTATCAGAAACACTGCAGCCAGCATCACTCAGATGTAAACTAAAAGGTCAGTTCTTCCGCAAGGAGGCGTTTGGAACAGGTTAGGGAACAGCACTGCTGCCACCAAGGCAGACGCTGGACCATCACTCTGGCTGGCCCACGGCTGCACGTCTCTCCTCTCGGCAGTGGAATTGCAGTGGGACAAACGATCCTCTTTTTTCTCGCCGTTTAGACTCCTTCTCTGTTTCCTATCAGAAAATGTTACCTCCATCTCACTCCTGGCCCGAGTGATCCAGCCTCTTCTGAGCCCCGCAGGATAGGAGAGCTAATCCTACCATCTGTGTCTAAGTTTATCACCTCCAGGGAACTTTCTCGAGGGTTCCCCCTCAGCCTCCCTTCCACACAGTCTGCCAGGAGCCAGGCTCCTGTCTCTAAAATTGTAAACCCCCACCTTTATGCACCCGTATGCTATCTGCATATGTGTACGCACGTGAGTTAAAGTGGGTGCAGGTCAGGGAAGGTGGGTGCAGATACTGCCCAAGAATACCCAACTGTTCATTCGGTAAATGAAGATTTATTGAGTGCTATTTGCTAGCACCTTCCTACAAGCTGAGGATACTGGAAAATAAGTGATGCAGGAAGCTTACTCTTGGAAGCTTACAAACTATCAGGGGGCATAGGCATTAAATCAAGGACTCAATATGTTAGTTATCCACAGGTGTAAGAAGGGCTCCAGAGGAGATCCAAAGCCTTGAGGTGTCCCAGCAGACCCTGATCCAGTCTCATGATGAGGGTCACAGAAGGCTCCCTTGAGGAAGTGTCAGGGGAGTGGGTATGAGATGGTCAAGGGAGAGAAAGGAACGCTCTTTCACATGGCGTGTGCCAAGGTCCTAGGACAACATGAAGACGGATTTTTTAAAAAATTTTTTCAGGTTTGTTAGAAATAATTGACATATTCATAGTATAAGTTCAAAGTACACAGCATGATGGTTTGAATTGCATATATTGTAAACTGCTGTTTATCGTCTAAGGATTGGCAATATTTTAGAATTTCTTGGTAATGACAATTATGAAACCAATTGTGCCACCCACATCCTTTTTTCTTTGGCCACCTGGGAGCTCAAAGTCAAATTTAAAGGTCAGTTTTAGTTGAGCTTGGTGATATGCTTACTAAATTCTTTTCTATAGGTCCTTGATTTTGGATCATATTTTCTACTTTTCTATTTATATTTCCCAGATCCTAAATTTGGTGATTTGTTGTTATTCAGCCACTCATTTGTGTCCAATTCTTTTGCAGCCCCACAGGCTGCAGCACACCAAGCATCCCTGTCCTAATTTGGTGATTACCAATATAGTTTTAGCTAACATTAATCTTCTTGAATAGACATAACAAAAAGAAAAAAAGAAAAACATAAAGGAAAATAATTTTTCTCCTTGTGATAAGGACCTTTAGGATTTACTATCTTAACAACTTTCCTGTGTACCAAACAGCAGTGTTAACGATAGTAAGAAGGCGGATTTTTTTTTTAAGACTTCAGAAACCAGCAGTGCCGAAGCAAAGAGGAACTGACAGGCCGACGCTACGTGAGCTTGTGCGCTTAGTCACTTGGTCGTGTCTGACTCCCTGCGACCCTTTGGACTGCAGCCCTCCAGGCTCCTCTGTCCCTGGATTTTTCAGACAAAATTACTGCAGTGGGTTGCTACCTAAAGGTTCCAAATTAAAGTCACATGACTTGGAAAGTAATTGGGAGCCACAGAAAGGTTCGATGACTGACTGTGATGTGATCATTGATAAGAAAACTAAATGTAGGATTGTAAAAGACCTCTCAAAAACAGGAGGATCGCCGGGCCCTTGCTTAGCTCTCTGGCCTCCTCTCTTCAGCTTCACTCACTGTGCACAGTCACACCAGTCCCCAGTGTTCCTGGAGCAAACCGGGGCCTTTGCACGGGCTTTCCCCCTGACCCCCACCCCACGCAGCCACACGGCTTCATCATCCCCTCACCCCACGCGCGCTTCAGCTCAGATGTCCCCTCTCCAGACAGGTCTCCTCTGAGGACTTGATCCAGGTCCTGCCACTGCCTCTCCTTAAGCTGAAGAGTCATCATTTTAACATGAAAATCCAGATTTTGAGCTTCCCTGCAAACAGCTGAACCCCAGGGAATGCGCAGCCACACGGCCACGTGGCAACCGCTGGCCTGAACACAGGACTCATCCCCTTCAGAGGGCCTGCCACCAGCTGTCCCGCCACGGCCCCGGGGCTCTGTAACAGGATTTCCGCATACAGTCTGTGCTTCGGACAGAAAGCGTCTAGCTAATTTTTTTAAATTAAAAAATAAAATGTTGGCCACACTGCACAGCATATGGGATCCTATTTCCCTGACTAGAGATCGGACCCTTGCCCCCTGAGTGGAAGCGTACTGCGTGCTAAGTCGCTTCAGTAGGGTCCGACTCTTTGCAACCCTACGGACTGTAGCCCACCAGGCTCCTCTGTCCATGGGATTCTCCAGGCAAGAATATTGCAGTGGGTTGCCATGCCCTCCTCCAGGGGATCTTCCCGACCCAGGGATCGAACCCGCATCTCTTATGTCTCCGGCATTGGCAGGCAGGTTCTTTGCCACTAGGGCACCTGGGAAGCCCCAGGGGAAGCCGTGGAAGCAGTGTTAACCACTGGGCTGCCAGCAAAGACCCAGTTCTAGCTATTTCAGTCTGACTTTGTTGGGGGGCAGAAGTCACTGCCTGCTACATCTCCCACAAAAAAGACCGGCTTCTTTGTCGGACTCCGCTTCTTTCCAGCCTGTACGTCCTCCCTGGGGCGCGGTGGCAGCCACCGCATCTACTCCCCAGATGCAAACCCCCCATGTTTCCAAACAGGACGAGAGCCTACCACTCTCGGTTCATCCCTCATGTCATCTAACACCCTGACGACCTTCTGGCCGCCACCATCACAGTGGCCCGAGGGTTCTGAGAACATTCAGCGTGCACAGACCTGCCGGGCGAAAATGCAGCTCTCTGTCTTCCCCTCAGCCCTCCTAATGTCAACAGAGGTTACCCAAAGTAACCCTCGGGGGCCCGGCTAGCTCGCTTTATCTTGATATCTTTATGATACCAGGCCTCCCAAACACACACATTGGCCTTCTCAGTGTAATCCCCTGAAATGGCTCTTAACTGCTACCTGCAAACACGCAGATGCTTGAGATGAAGCAGCTCTAGTTAAAATGCTTATAAATTATAAGCGAGGTTAAGCCAGGACCTACAGATGAGTGGCAGATATGGATACAAGTGAGGTGTTTGGGATGCTTCTAGGTCTTAGTTGTCATTTATAAAGAGTTTTCCAAACTTAGTGGGCAAGAAGGGTCATCTGGAGTGCTTGTGAAAAATATATGCTCTCTTATGGTTGCTAGGGGGAGAAAGGAAGGGAAGAGGGAGTTCTGGAGTTTGGGACTGATGTGTACACACTCCTATATCTAAAGTGGAACACTAACAAGGCCCTACTGCACAGCACGTGAACTCTGCTCAATGTCACGTGTCAGCCTGGATGGGAAGGGAGTTTGGGGGAGAATGCTGTCATGTAGCTCAGCTGGTAAAGAATCCGCCTGCAGTGCAGGAGACCCCAGTTTGATTCCTGGGTCGGGAAGATCCCCTGGAGAAGGGATAGGCTACCCACTCCAGTATTCTTGGGCTTCCCTGCTAACTCAGATGGTAAAGAATCTGCCTGCGATGCGGGAGACCTGGGTTCGATCCCTGGGTTGGGACGATCCCCTGGAGAAGGGAAAGGCTACCCACCCCAGTGTTCTTGCCGGGAGAGCCCCATGGACAGAGGAGCCTGGCAGGCTGCGGTCCGTGGGGTCACGAGGAGTCAGACACGACCGAGCAACCGAGCACAGAGTTGTCGTGTTGTGTTCAGCTGCTCAGTGGTGTCTCTGTGACCCCATGGCCTGCTCCTCTCTCCATGGGATTTTCCCAGCAAGAATACTGGAATGGGTTGTCATTTCCTACCCTAGGAGATCTTCCTGACCCAGGGATGGAACATGCATCTCCCAAATCTCAGGCATTGCAGGCAGGTTCTTTACTGTGAGCCACCAA